CCTTGTGGCATCTCCACCTACCCTGCTGTCTGGCCACTCTGGGCATGTCTACACCGAGATGCTCAGGATTCAGGAAAGTTATACTGAATCAGCTAATGGTGTGTATTTAGAGTGCATTATAAACCCCCGTGTGGACATTCTCTTCCACTTTGGAAGTGAATTAAGCTAAAGCAAACGAAAGCCACTTTGCTTCTGAGTGAGAGCGTTGGCACAGGGGTTTAACTAGTGCATTTTAAATTCACACCGTTAGTTAATTTGGCTTAACTTTCCTGAGCAGCACCATGCAGACCCCCCTCAGTAATTGATCAAGGTGACAGTCCCCACTCACGCTAGTGTTGAATGGGCAACAGTCTGCTCTCAATTTCACCACCCCTATCCCAGTCGCTACAGTAACTTATACAGCACGGCCCCTGTTCCAATGGGTCAGGTGTGGGACCAGGAGACAGGAGGCTGTTTTAGTCACAGATCCACCATGGCAAGTCACTTTCTGTTCCTATGCCTCTGCTACAAATACAAACAGTGCTTTGAAGTCTAGGGGGTTGCAGGGTGTAATTCACTAATTCCTACAATTGCCTCCTGGCTGCTCTCCCATTTACTCCGTCCACTCTTTACCTTCCAATCTACACTGCCCTCATTACTCACACACTATTACCCTGCCATTCGGTCATTCACACAAGCAGCGGGCATGATGAAAACCAGACCTGTCACAACCAGTGAGAGCTGCTGAGTGCTTAAGGTGTCTGAACATCAGGTCAATTATCTAGGAATCCTGGTCCACACATAGTTTTTGCATTGGAATAGCTATGTCGGTGGGGTTGTGATTTTTTTTTTTTTTTTTTTTTACAGATATACAACCCCTAGTGTGGATGCAGTTACACCAATATAGTAATAGTACCTTGCTCTCATATAGGGCTAGGGTGCCTTATACCCATAGAGCGTATTCTTCCTCCTTGGAACTCTACCAGTATAAACACCTTTCTACTGAGCTAAAGCGGTACCGTGTGGACTGTACAGCAGGCCAGAGTTAACTATCCTTTAACTACATTGAAAATGGTACAGCTTTGGAGCGCAGGCAAGGCCTAAATATGGATTTAATAGCTTAACACTGGGCAAAGGCTCTGAAAGGGCCAAGGGATGTCTGAAGGAGCTGTTCTCCACGTTCCTGCTATGCCGGTGTCAGAATCTGTTACAATCCATCCTTTCCCAATGGCCTAGTGCAGCTTTGGCCAGATTCTACCTGCTGGAATTCTCTCCCCAGAGAGAGATAATTAGTTAATACCATTGCTATTTTTAAAGCTACATGAAAGGCTCTCTCTTTTATTCTGAGTCTCACTGTTTGTGCTGGGCGGGTGGAGGGAGCTGCTAACTTGGTTAAGATGCACTAGCCCTGATAAGACACTTGTGAATAGCTCTATATAAATGAATAACTAACCAACTAATTCTTGCATGCAAATTGAAGGCATAACAAAGGTAGGAGGGTCAGGGTGTGTTGCTTATTTGCTTAGATTCGAAGCTCCTCCAGGCAGGGACAATGTTTGCTTCTGTGTCTTGCAGGCTGTTGGCACTTAACACACAATAAATTAATCATCATCATCAACATCTTAACTAGGCTCTGAAAGTGGAAAACAACAGAGGCAGGCAGGCTTCCATGAGCTCTTTTAGGAGTGATGAGTATGAGGAGAGACAAGGTAGGGGAAGGAATATCTTTTACTGGACCAACTTCTGCTGGTGAAAGAGACAAGCTAACCAAGCTTACACAGAGTTCTTCTTCGAGCTCTTCAATGCTGCAGACCCTGAAAGCTTGTTGCTTTCGCCAACAGAAGTAGTTGGTCCCGTAAAAGATATTACCTCGCCCACCTTGTCTCTCTCGTATCCCGAGACCAATGCAGCTACAGCAACACTGCAAACAGTACTCAGAAAAGCAGCCAGATGAGTCTGGCTGTCTGGTAGAAAAGCAGATAGACTGTGAGTCTGCTTTTCCTGCACCATAGAAATCCCTAGGAGTTTTGCAACTGGGAGCTTATCCAAAGCTCACTGAAGTCAATGGAAAGACTCCTATTGACTTCAGTGAGTTTTCCATGGAGGCCCTTTACGCTCATCCATCTTCTCTCCTCTACATTTATTACAGTAATTTTATAGAATCACACCTTTCTAAACAAAAGGATTTTTTCCAATTTAAGTTGTAAACCCCACTGTTGTGCAGGGTGCTGTGCTGCTGCTGACTTCCACCCCAGAAGTAGCTGCACGTCAGTGGTATCGTGACTACACGCGTGAAGAGATTGGTCACGTATCATTTGCCTTGTACCAGCAAGGTACAAAACAGAAACCCACACAGTCCCTCCCCCCTAAAAAGTGTACAGTTGAAAGGTCAGAAGACTAGGTCCCAAATCTGCACAGATGGACTACTGCCCCCAGAATCCCATGCACATCTGGGTTGAGGATCGGGACATCT